ATACTAGAAAAGCAAGAGAACCAATCCTACACAAAGGATTTCTAGCTAAAAAAGAAAAGAGAGAGAGATCACTAGAGAATAAAGTCTCTAGAATTTCATCAAATAAACCAATATTATATAAACGAGCTTGTAGGCCCAACTACCAAATAATTATAAGAGAAATATAATTTAATTCAATTTTTTATATTGTATTCTCCATAAAACTTTTTTTACGCCTTTAGGCCGAGGTGTGTCATTTCAATGAAAAAAATAGTTTGATATCTAAGATTCAAGTTTCAAGATGTGGCAAATTTATCTATCAAGTCTCATGGCTTTAGTTTTTGCTTGGTATATAAATGTCGTGAAAGTCCCTTTATATATACATAGATGTCCAAAATGATTATTAGAGAACAATATAAAATTATTGTAAAACCTCATACGAGTCTAAATTTTTGATTAAAATAGGATTTTGACATTGGTAAAACCTAATTATGCAAAAAAAAAATTGTAATAATAAAATATTATTTTCTTAAGATAGAAACCACGTGCCGCAAATAAAGGCGGACTTATGTGGAGGAGAAAGAGGCGGTAGTTCCCCTTGAATTTTTCTAAAGAATTCATTTTGGCCCTCATTATCTTAGTAGGTCAAATTTGTCCTCTTTCTTTTCGGATATTTGCCCCATACTCCTTGAAAGTTTCTGTTTATCTTTGAATCCTAGCTTTGCCCCCACAATCGAGAATTACGAGCACATGGTAAGCAACTTCGATCTCCTATTAATGTAAGAGGAAATCTTTATAAAGTTGTTGCTCTCCTTATAAAAGCTAGCTAAGGCCAGCTAGAAAAGCATTTCGTTTACTTTAATATTTTTTGTCGGACTCAAATTAAGCAACTGGAGATAGTGATTAAGGGTAAAATTTTTTGGCCAAATTTTCATAAAAAGAAAATTATTTTTACATAGAAAAACTTGTGAGGTGGCTTGAAGAAAATGAGATTGTTATTTTGATGTTTCAATTAGCTTCCCATCAATTGAGGTCATCAACAAAATGTATTCCCTATAGGAACTACACTTGAAACCAAGTTGATGAATCGAATAAAGTGAAATTGTAGTCCTCCCTGCAAAAGGAAGGTTGATTCCTTTTCTTTTCGAATTCTTTCAATCCTACTAAAATCCAAAAATAGCGAGTGAAATTTTAATGGAAAACATTGAAAACCACATTAGAAAGGAAGTGTTCAATGGAATTATAACAATAAGAAATACAATGGGACCACGATCGATGTTGAAAATAAGAGACATAAACGTATAGCAATAAGAGAGACCACTAGCTAGGGAGAATCTTGATGGAAATCCGTCTCGGAATCTATGACAAACCACCACTTCCCTCGATCCGGATCATGTAAATTGATTCCCTCTTATTTGGGAATCTCTAAGATTCCATTACACTCGAAGAAGCACTAACTTTTGTTTTTGGATCATTATAAGAAACGGTTAAAATTGATTAATGACTCAATATGTTTTTTATATAATATAGTTATTTTTAATGTATACTTATATTTTTAATTGACTTAATTTTATTATTGAGTATGTATTAAGTTTCTAATTTATTTAAAGTTAATTTATCGAAAGCAATCACATGATTTACATATAATTATTTTTTATTTCTAAAATGCTCTTACATCAAATATTTATTCTCTCACGAGTTCAAAAAATCATGTGACTAATTTTTGTTGGTTGATCCGAAAATTTTACCATAATAATAAATTAACAATTTGACATATATTCAAAAATAAATTTGATTCAAATAAAAATATATGAACAAATTAAAAAATTATCTTATTATATAAAAACATATTCAACCTTTAATTCTATGTAAAAAAAAAAAATCTTTTTGAAAAGGATAAATGTAATTAGAGCTTTGGGTTAATTAAAATGTTTTCAAAAAGCACAATCATTTGATTAAAAGAACTTCCTTTGTCATTTAGTACCATAAAGACCGAGTAAATTATAAATTAGTTTATCTAGCTTTTTAAAAAGAATTAAATCTTTTTTTTCAATAACTAATTAATTAGTTTTTATATTTTTAAATCTATTTATAATTTAATTTTTTAAAATAAAAAATAAGTAAAAATAAGAAAATATTAATGAACAAAATATATTTTTAAAAAAATAATATTAAATTAATTATAATCAATATTAATAAAAAAAATTAATTAATTAATTTTTAACACAAGAGGAACTATTCAATTTGTTTTGTAAAATTAGATAAACCAATTTATAAGTTACTCGTAAAGACTTGACTATGGTACGACACCACATCAAGTATGGTTAAAATCTTAAACATCATAATAGAAAGTCAACATTTAGTTCTAAATTTTCATTTAATCCCTCCTCAAAATTAGGTAATTAAAATTAAAAAAGCATATATTTGTTTTTCAATATTGTTATTTCTGAATTTGTATTTCTTACAATTAATTCAATGCAAAAAATAAGAAATTTTGTTTCACACAAATCCATATTATCAATACAAAGAAAAAATAATATAAAAGCTCATAATATCATAGATAAACAAAAAATTGAAAGAAATTCATAAATCTAACGCTTTTTTATTATCATCAACCACAAAATTAAACACCACACTATTATACCCATAACAAAATTTTAAAACACATAAAAAATTGGAAAAAAAAATTTTTTTCACTGTAAAAACCAAAATTTTAGTTTTATAAACTAAAAAAGTGAATAAAAATTCCGTTTGAGTTAGGGTTTTTTTTTTTTTTTTTTAATTCGGTTAATAAAAAACGGAATCAAAACAGAACCCAAAAACCAAATGCTCACCTCTGGGCTTGTCTAGTTAGAATAAAAAATCACTAGGAAGACCAAGGGAAGTCCAAAGGCCCAGTTTCCTCGGCCAGTCAAAATACACTCAAGTCCCATTGCCTTGTCGTCGCAGCTGACCGTTGTTCATGACAAAAAAAGTGGACTTCCAAAACGTAGGCTTGTGTAGGCCGAAGTCAAATACTCAGTAGGAAAGCCCAGTTCTCAGAAAAGGAGAGAAAAGCCCAAGAATTGGATCCATGTCCTTTGCATCAAGTTAATCTCGAGCCACTGCAAATTTCTAAATATTCATTTCTTAGATATTTCTGTTTTGAGTAATACTAAATTTTATTTCTTAATGATTTGTTCTGCTTATATTGGTCAATTTTGCTAAATTAGTAACGTATGATTTTATCATATTTTTTTAAGAATGCTATGAAATTTTAAAAGCTATATGATCTATCGTGATTAAAAAAAACAAAAAAACAAAAAAAACAAAAAATTACTATAGTCTGTCATTTACTTATAAACTATTGTATAGTAATATAGGAAAATAAAAGGCAAGATATTCAAAAAAAAAAAAAATAGAATAAATAGATCAATTTTTTTTTATAACACCTTAAGTCTCTAATATGTCTTTATATTTCTAATTACATCTATTATGTTATTGAATATTATTTTATTCTCTAATCTGTGATTCCGATCAATTTTTTCAATTATTAAAAAAAAAATCTTTTACTGAAATACCTTTGAATGAAATGCAAAAAAAATAAATAAATAAATAAATAAATTGCATGACTCGTATGTTTTATATTTGAAGTCTTTGGAATTATTATTATATATTTTGCTCAAAAAAATTATTTATGGTCAAAAAAATTAATTGGAAGAACGGATTGAATACTTAGATATTATTAAAAAATATAATAGATGCAATTAAAAATATAAAGACATATTTAACACTCTTATTATTATATAAGAATGCATTGAGTTATTTATATGAAAATATATATTTTTGATGTAATAGGTCTTTATTAGTTACGTGAAGAAAAGAAAAGCACAGATGTAAATGAAAGGGTTACCTTCAATTATGTAACTTAAGATTTAATAAAAGTTAGAGGTTCGATTTGAATGGTAAGTACCTTCAATTATGTATCCGAAGAGGAAAGTTGCAAGAAAACTAAATTATTATAAATACACTAGTTCAAATATAGATAGTTTTTCTAAACCAAACCACAAAAATTCAAAATGCAAGAAAGCCGACAATACTCTTTTTCTTTTTTCTTTTTTTTTTCTTTTTTTTGTAGAAGCAATATAGTCTCTGAAAAACAGGACTGGTATATATAATCTTAAGAAAAAAAATATAATAAATTATAATTACTCAATTGAAATATCATGAAATTACAATGATAAAAAAAAATGTACCCGAGATGTCCTTAATGTTAAAGGAAATAATTTTAAAAATATTAAGAGTATTTTTTATGAGAAAGAGGGTTTTGTAATATTTACTTAAACATGAGAAGATTTCTGTCAAATTTTTGAATTTTTAGATGATTCATATAATTTTATAACATCACGGGAGAGGTTGTAGTTTACTCTTAAAAAAAGATCAACTAATACAAATTATTGTGTTAATTAATCTATATTGAGCATACTGACACATGTGATTTTAAGAAGTTTTCACTCTGATACGTCTTTATATATTATATATTTTCTCACATATATGGTTTGGCTACTTTTTGGAAAAAAAAAAAAAAAAACCTTTAAAACCATCAGAATAAAATTTAATTACTAGATGAATCTTTCACTCTCATGTATCCTTATATATGCATATTTGTATATGACAAAGATAATTAGTGCACGTAATCATGATTTTAGGTTTATTTATGTTGGTTAATGGTCAGGGCTCATTAATCATTAGCATAATTCTTGTCAAACTTAAATTGGGAGTAAACTATATCATCAATAGAGATAACGTTTAGTAATATTGTGCTGTAAAAACCCTAAAACTTCGGCCTTCCACCGAAGATAATAATTCATAACAAATTGACTTGGGAAAGAAAAGTAGTTCATTCTCGATCCAGGCTTGCTTTGGACATTTCGGACCTAAACTATTGACAATTGATCACTTCAGATTATCATTATTATCATTAGTATATAATTATTACCAGAAAATGGCCATTCCATAAATGTCAAACTGTGCCAACAGACATGTATGCGCACGTAGTAGGTGAAGCTAACATTGACTTCGTAAAACAAAGGCCATTAGAAACTTCTTTCAACAAAAAACGCGTTTTCCTTTATATCTCTGGACATTCTTCACATCTACACTATTGCCTTAATAAAGCAAAGGCTCTCAATCCTCTGCTTCAAAAATCTAGGGAAAAGAAAACAAAATAGGGTGCATAAACCCAATCTTGGTAGGGCCAGGCAAATCAACCTCTTTTTGATTAATTACTGCAAGACAGACATAAGGGTTTCTTGTTTTGGTGTTTCCCAAAAGATCGATATGTGTCCTTTAAGGTTCATCTTGGTGTTTTTCTCAGCAGTTTTGGCTGGATATTTTGCATGGAGGACAGTACGATCATCTCCAGAGATTGATGACATAGTTTCCGATGATTCAACGGCTGAAAAGACTTCATTGAGAGATAAACAAGAATTCAATATAAAAAGGGTATGTTTGATCAAGAATTCTTTGCTTGTTTCTTGGTATTCTTTCTTTCTTCCTTTCTTCTTGCAAGTCTTAAATTATTGGGTTTTCTTTTCAGATGATTCAAAATGGATTCTGGGTATTTGTCGACATGGCTAGTGGGAGATACTTGTGGAGGAATCTCAAGGAGATGAAGAAAGATGAGACATTGAAAAGCTCATAGGATTTAATCATGGCTGTGTTCGAATTTCTTTGTTCTTTTTAGTAAATAACAATCTCTGTATCCTAGGGGCAAAAAAAAAAAAAAAAAATTGTAATCTCTCTTTTGCTTTTGCTTGCTGTTCAAGAAGGGACATGGAATGCGAGAGCTGCATTTTGTTGAATGTCAATTGAGAATCCTTGGATTAATGAAATTAACTTTAGTATGATTTTAGCACCACATTCGAAATCTCATAAATTCGATGGAAAAACCCTAACCTGCAAAACCACAAAGCTGAATCAATTCTGTAGCCCTGTGAAATGTGCTTAAAGCAAACCTACACAAGGTTGTGGAAAACCTAAAATTTCCAACTTGCATTGCTTATCCTCAAACATGCAGGAATATATAGTCCAAGTCGAATGGTTAATTTGAAACTTCCAAATTGAAAGCCATAAAATTTATTTCAATTTATCTGTTGAGTGGTTGACAGTTCAGAAAATGAGACCAGCACAGAATTATGGACAGAATAGAAAATGAGAGCAGGCTAAACTTAATTTTCTTTATATAATACAAGGTATCATCTAACAAATTGGCACTGATGTTATACGGTGCATTAGATCATATGTACAAGGATTTTCAGAGAAGAACAAATATCATTGATGCAATGCAGATGGATAACCAGCAGCAACAGCTTCAGTTTAGGTCCGCTTGCAGCTTAATCGACATGTACAAAAGCGTAACAAGAGCACCCTGTGGGAGTGGAGCAAACCTCGCAAGATTTGAACCAACCCACATGGCTACCACCACCAGAGCAACCATGCTGCTGCTCGTCTTTCCACAGGCCCAGCTAGCAAATTGGAGACACAGAACAAGCAAAATCCCACCTCTCCCGCCCAGAATCCATGCAATCAGATAGCCAATCTTATACCCAGCATCCAATTGTCTGTCGAACAAAGCCATGACACTGCTGAAGGTAAGAGATAATAGAGATCCAAAAGTATGAAGTAAAAAGAGAGATACAAATGCAGATCTTAGCACTTCGCTAAATGGGCCTCTTTCCTGATCTAGGCTTCCTTCTTCAGCCTCCTCCTCCGTTTCACTGTAGAAGGAAGGATCCTCACTCACGTTATAATGCTCCCAATATCTCTCACTTCTCACTTTCCGCTTCATTTCAGCCCACTTGTAGATCCTTACCCAGTCTTCAACTTCAGGGGTATAATATTGTTTTTTGCTATATGATCTGCCAGTATCTTCTTGAAATCTAAGTACTCGATCATACTGAGTCCTTGTCACTTCATTAGAGAGTATCTATATAAGAAAGAGTTGGTAAGTAGGTAAATATACAGTCTGGAAAATGGAAATTAAGATAATGTGATAACCATGAAACTAAATGCTCCCGGCAAAAGGGGAAAAAAAGAAAAAAGAAAGGGTAAACAATGGCAACTACTAAATTATACTTGGTCAAGGATTTAAATCTCATCAACCAACAGATTTACTATTTCCAAGAGGATTTAGGAAAAATCAGATATGAAAAGTCAGTTTTTCAATATTCTAATTTCCTTTTAATTTTTCCATGCAACAAACTCACCAGTCAGTACCAAAAATTTAAAACAAGACCTGTACAAAACTTGAATTTTTCCAGTCGAACAAGGCTCGTAATTCTACCCCACTGCACACATGCTTGTTTTTCTCCAGATGGGAATATAGACAGAATATATTAAGTTGTTATCATTCTAATAAAATCAGTAATTAGCAGAACAGACACCAAGAAGTTTATTACGGATTTCTCACTTCATATGCATGCCGAATGCTCTTGAACAGCTCACCAGCTTGAGAATGCTTGCTAACATCAGGATGATACTGCAACCATAATCCAAGAACAAGTGTCGAGGAGAAAATCGTTAGCAAACATCTTGGAGATAGTTCTTGAAAATGTATGTTAATTTTCAATGAGCCTTTCAACCAAAATGAATTAGAAGTAATTGTTCATGGTCAATGACAGTCACTATTTAAAGCCTCAGTCACAGGGTGAAAGAAGGCATAGATAACATAAGTCATGAGTGAGAGAAACTTGTAAGAAGTTAAAAACGTAACATGCATGAATTTAACAAGTGATGCTAAGAGCAAGGACATTGAGCCCTAGCATGTTGCAGCTGATGAGTGTGTGCGAGAATCTCATGCCACTACTTGGAGCCCAGAGAAAAGCATGAGCACTGAAGTAAACCGTGGATAGACAAACATGCACAATTCCTTTTATCATGTCGTGCAGCAAAACAACTAACAGTAAGCCACAATAACCATGAAAACCCTAAGAAACTAAATTATAAACCAACTCCATCTCCTTCAAATCAAGGCAAAGGCCCGAAGCAATAAAAGTGAACCAAGAAGTTCTATCCCATCCATCTTTTTCTAACACAGCATTTCAACCCTTACTGCATAACTGCAACCAACACAGAGGTAGCCTCAGCTAGTATTAAACCCACAACTTAATTTTAAACAAGACCCTTTTTTTTTAAAAAAAAAAAAAAAAAAAAAAAACCTTTAATTGATCAACCTTAAATCACTATTACATAAACTCATTTGTCCCAAATTTATGTTCAAGAAACAAGTTCCAGAAATCAAACACAAAACCAAAACCTCCAAAATTGTAAACAGTGATTATTATTCAAATTAAATAACAGTTACAATTTACAAACTTGAAGAAACCATTACTACATAATTAGAATTACCTTTCGAGCAAGAAGGCGATAAGATTTTTTAATATCGGCTGAAGTGGCTGTCCTTTGGAGTCCCAGCACCGCGTAATGCTCTTGCTCGCCGCCGTTGATTGCTGCCCATGATGATGATGATGATGATGCAACTACCACTGTTGGGCCTCGCTTGTTGTTGTTGTTGTTGCTGGGATGGCGGGATTTATTGTTACGGTTCCGATAGTAGGCCCAGCTACTAATCGGGGAATTGTGACTACCGGCGGTGATGGAGCTGCTGGAGGAGGACAAGGAAGCAGAGGCGTCGATTGAGGTGGGGATAGGTCCCACCAGGAAGAGGTGCGTCTGCATTATCGTTCATGCGTTTCTTTGTTTCTTTCTCTGTATCGTGCGGTGGTGGTGATTGGTGACCAGTGGACATCGAGCATTTGGCAAATGATGCAGCGAAGAAATCAGCGACCCTTTTTGTCAAAATACAAACTTACTCCCTGAAGTGTGGAGAATTTCTCAATTTTATCCCCTAAGTCCTAAACTAATTCAGGAATATCTCCATTTTTGTCGGAAAAGTGTTTTCCTTTATAAAACTTGAAAAAATAATAATTTATTTTGCATGTTCTACGTTTAAAATTATTATTTATATTTACATATTACTATTTTAAACTATTTTGAAATTTATTATCCATCAATTTTTGCATATGCTAAAAATTATTTTTTTATTTTTTCATTCTATACTACTACTCATCCTCATTTTCATTTTTTTATTGTCTTGCAAAATTAATAATTAAGTAATAATTTATTAGAATCATGGAATATTTATATTTAAATATTTAATTGGAATTAAGCAAAACAATTTTCATTTTGCATTTTTATATGTTAACTTATGTAATTAATTTTCGAGTAAATTACAATAATCTTCCCATGTATCAATAAAGTATAGGAGCCATCCAGAAGTTTGAATTTAATTTAACAACACCCCCCCCCCCCCCACCCAAAAAAAAGGAAATATTTATACCTAAAATACCCTGAGTAACTATTTAAAGAAAACAATAGCTAAATTAAGAAATTTTAAAAATTAATGAAACAATGTTAAGAAAGAAATTCAAAACAAAATTAAATGAAATTAATATTATTCATGTCCTAAAATAGTCATGTCCCATTTTTTTAATATTATTTCTCTATTTTTTTAAAAAAAATAATTAACTATCTTTTTTAACTAGTAATTAAGGGTATTTCGGATACAAAAGAAAGTTTGTGTAATATTTTCTTAAACATGGAGGGGTTATGTAATATTTTCTTAAACATAATTAAAGGGTTTGTCAAATCTCCAAACTTTTAGATAGTATTTATAATTTCACTATATTTCTAGGAGGTTAGCATAATTAATCCTTGATTTTGTAGTGTACACCAAAAACATTAAAATATGTTTTCCAACTTAATTACTTTCACTGCGCATCCAAGTATAATAAACTGATTCATTTTCTCGTAATTTATTTTTTAATGAATAAATAAGATTAAAAGAAAGTTGATAACTAAAAAATTCTATTATTTTTTAAAAAAGTTAATAACTCAAAACTGTTATTGTCTAACTTATTTTTTATCACATGACCAAACACTGAAAATTAGTCTCCACCTTATTTTTCAGGATATAACTAAATATTAAAAAATAATCTATTTTCTCACAATCACTTTTCATGAAATTTACTTTCAAGCAAACAACGAGACTTCAGAGTAATGTTAAGGATTTTTTTTCCCTTTTTTTTTTTTTCCAAAAATCCTCCTTGTTTCGGTTTTACACCAATTTTATTGAAGTGACTATCAAAATGTAGTTCCGAAGTCCACAAATCATATTACAAACTCTTCAACAAATTACACATGTCGCCTACAATAAGATAAAAAATATCACTTCTCTCAAAAAAAAAAAAAAAAAATAGAAAACAAAGTAAATAGAAAGTTTTTTTAAAATTCTACTCCCTTCTTCTAGAGGGATCATCTAGAAAGCTTGTTATTTTGAATGCATTAAGACAAAATGTTTGATAATAAGAGAAAAACCGAGGCCCAAAATTAAAGCATTAAAATTGAAAGTTTAGAAGAAATGCAAAAAACAATTTTTGTTTCTTTGGTATTTTTTCGATTTTATTGACAAAGATAAAGGTGTTCACTATTCGATAAAAACCAAATAACTAAACTAAATCACACCAAAATATCAATATTGGTGTGGTTTTTTTTAGAAATTAAAAAAAAAATCCGAACCAAAATAATTTCTTTTCAAGTTTGGATTTGCCTTTTAAAAAAAATCAGTTAAATCGAAAAAACCTATATATATATATATATATATATCTTCTTATCAATATCTTTGCTATTTTTTGGGCGCGACTTTAATATTTCGAGTTTCCTAACTAGTAATCTATAAAGCGAGAAAAGAAATCCACTCTAAATAGAAATCTCATGAACTTTAATAGAATAAGTCATTTGTAGAAAAAAATAAAATAAAACAAAATGAGTAAAAATTGAATTACTCAACATCGAAACCAAAATATTTCGAAACTAAACCAAAAAAACCGAATAACATTTTGGTTTTTTTTTTTTTTTTTGAAATTTGATTAACTAAAAACCGTTCGAAATATTTCGAAACCAAACCAAATAACATAACAAACACCCTTAGGCAAGGGTATTTCAACCAACTTCCGAACAACTTTCCTCCATTCGATTTTATAAAGTCCATCCACCTACATTTGTAAGAAATTATTTTCTTTCAAACTCCTTTAGAATTCAAATATTGAATAACTAGTCATATACATGTGCTTTGTGTAGTGGAGAAATTCTTTGCTTTTAACATGTTTTATAACATAGGATGTGGTTTTATAATAGGATAAATAGTCGGGCTAATACTCTCATATGTCTTTATAGAATATATATATATTAGTGAGAGCATTAGTATTATCATTATTTCAATAATTCTGGATATAATAGTCTAGAGCTTATGTTTTTTTAGTTTATTCCATAGTTTATTTGTTTTTTAACTCCTTATTAATTATTATTTTTTTCATTCATATATACCCTTCACGTGGATTTGTGGTGCTGTAAGAAAGATTTTTTAAGGATTTTGGTAATTGATGTCTTATTCCTATAGTTTGAAAAAAAAATAGCAATTAGAATATTTCAAAATAGCAGAACCATCGATGGATTGTCCATCAAAAATACATGTCCTAGCTGTTAATGTTAGAGGTTGGGGAGGATGTTATAGGAGCATAAGACTGTGTGATCGGACTAGCAAATCCTAAATCAGGACGGGGTCACAAACGCTCAAGCATGTGGATTTTTAGGTTGGATCGTGCAGTAATAAATTAAGCTGGATTTGTAGTTCACTTAAGTTCCTGATTCATCATATAGGTTTGTTTGTTTGTTAAAATTGGGCCAACAAATGTGCAAGAATATTTACATAATAGTCTTATACAAGTCATTTATTGAAAAATATCGACCATTGAATTTTTCACGATTGAAATTCTCTCATTTAATATATAAAATACCCATCAAACGGTTATTATTGTTTTGAAATTAAGTAAGGTTAGCATTACTTAGCGTACAATGAGAAATAGTATCTTGTTACATATATATCATGAGAAGAAAAAAGAAGCCAAATACATAAATTTACTTGAGTTTTTCATCATAGTTTTGTAACAAGTGTTAAATACGACTGAAGTTGTTTGTGATGAGGTGATGATACTTGTATATTTAATAATAATGAGATAGCTTCTCATGTGGCTGAATGAGTGGTGGTTCTAGTACAATAAAGAAAGGTTTGATGGTTTGTATCTGCACAACAAGACTTTTTCTGGAGGTTGGAGGATCCTTCTACGATCAATTTACTTTACAGAAAGAGGAAATGTCTGAATAGGCTATTGTGTTTGTGTGTTCTCTATAGAAAAAGATAAATAATATATTATCAATTAGGAAAGAAAAAAAGTGGAACCCTTAATCTTTGGCTTACTAGGTCTTTATATATTGGAAGGTTTTGAGTCAGATGCGTGAAGGTGGCATTAAAATGGTATAAAGTTAATGTTATGATTTATAAAAATAATAATCAACTAATCAAACAGAAATTATGTAAATAACAAGAGGCATGAGAAAAGAAGCAGTTAATGCTAGCAAAACATAAGTAAAGTGGCTAGCATGTGGATAGTCAAAGTAATGTAAATTTCTTTTATTGTAATTGCATATTTAAGTTTTGAATTTCTTACTACAATAATGTAAATAGTATATATATATATATATATATCTTCCTCGTCAACGCACCATGATAGACTTTATCGGTTTCAATTCATGATTTACTTTTCTTTTTCTTTTTAATTTAACCATTTGATTTCTTTTTATCTTGGTTTGTTCTCTTTTAACTAATCTTGAATTTATGTATAATATGTCAATGCCAAAACTTGAAGCAAATTATAAAGAAAAAAACTCTAATAAGCAATTATACCTATTTCATTTTTATTTTTATTTTTTGATAATTTTTTAGTCTTGCATGTATATTCAACTTGCTTAATCTAGAAGACACAGTGTACAGATTCAACAACATCCTGCCAGGTTCTCTAAGCACTATCAATCTAGAAAACCAAAATAAATTCAAAATCATGCAGTTAGAGACTGTCCAAAAGCCATATGGATAGCCATGATATGTATATTCAACTTGCTTATTGTCACCCCTCTAACGATCAACTATTAACATTTTTCCATCATATAAAGGAAATGCTCTTGTAATACTTCTTAACTTCTCAGGTATCCTAGTTCATAAACATATCATGTGTTTAGACGTATTGTTGATTAATGGAGAAAGTTATTGAAATCAATGTTTGATTGTCAATGCTGGATGATGTATTTTATTGGTTTTAATTCTTAATTTATGTTTGTTGTTTTTCTATTGAGTTTATCTAACCACTTGATTTTTTTTTCTTGGTTAGTACTTTTTTTTAAAATTATCCTTAAAATTGTATATTTTATTCGAAGAAACTAAAGGGAAAATAAAATACTCCAAGATATTAACGTTCATAAACCTATACTTCATTGTATAATTCTTGCACTTCAAAACAAAAAGTACAAGCAAAAAAACTTTGTGTCAATGCCATGGCCAATTATTACAAATCTCACATTTCATAATTTCTAATTAATGGTTTCACATCTAGTCTCACACCGATATGTAAACTCGAACTCATACTACCAAATCCGTAATTTGAACCTATAAAGTATTGAAGATTGGACAAATGTGATCCAAATAGCCCAATCTTCGTTATATGTTATGGTCAACATAGTTGAACATTACTTAGAATGTTAAAACTACATCTTTTTGACATTTCGTT